TAAGTATCAAAAATAGTCGACATTATAGACGAGAGTATTACCGTATAAGAGTGGATTGAAAATTATAAATACCTTATCCAAAACATTCAATTTATATCGTTTTATGTCAGCTCGTATTACTTCTAAAGGATTATTTATGAGAGTAAATACTTTTTTTTTTACAAATATATTATTAATTTTAAGGCAGTATAATATGATGAATACCAACAAAATAACAGATATAATAACTTTCTAACAAACTAACCTAGGTTGGTACCGAAATACATACGGAATGAATCCTGAGATTCAATATTTGAAAAATCCCAAAAGTGCAATAGCCCAAACAGCTTGATTTTCGAAATTTCACACGGTATATAAAATGGAAATTGAAATTGTGAGTGACGCCAGGCCAAGACACATGAATGCTTGGGTACATTGCCTTTTCGGTGTGTATTTGTGGGTTGTTTCGCCTTCTTTCTGGTTTTCGTATAAGTGTTTGGCTATACCGATTCCGATTCCGATTCCAATTCCGAATCGGCGGCGGCGACACTTGGCAACAAGTTGAATGGCTTGCCCAGCACCCCAAAGGGGCTCTAACCCCCTGATAACGAGGGGACAGATCAATATATGGACAGGTAGAGGTATAGAGGTATAGCTATATAGCTATATAGCCATGACTATACGACTATATGAGTGGGGTGTGCATAATACACGGGCAATGCGATGCGATGTGATGTTTGTCGAATCCCCGATCGCATCGGCAATCGGTCTTTGATGTGCGTCTGCCACAATATTTTTCATATTCTCCGACCCGACTTTCTCATGTTTCCCGGGCTTGTTTTTTGATGGATTCCGATCGGATTTGTGGGGCGGGAGGTGTGAACACGCCGCCGGAGATAACCTTTGATATGATGGCGAGCGAATGTGTGTGATTCAATTGGGTTAGGTCGGCGTTTCAATGGGTTACAGATCGTGCAATATAACATATAAGATTTCTACAACTCCTAACATGGCTGAAACATTAGCAGGCTATTTTATTTAACGCCTATCTTGAGATCCTCACTCAATGTCAAAATACAATATACAGTTATGGGTTTCTATTACTTAAAGACTAAAGTAAAACTAGAAAACGTGTTTATAAGGTTTCCATATTTGATATTATACACCAATTGAAATGCCAATAACCCCAACCCCCAACAAGTCAAAGTTATCGTATTTCTCTAAATTCTAAAGCGCTTAAAATTACAGAAGCTTGACATTATTTTTTTTTTAGAAACATATTTAACATAGGTTAGACACATCAAATCTTTTTATAAACTGACACATTTCGGACTAAAAATGCTGTTTCATTTATAAGCCATTATACTAGATTTTTAAAGGGTTGATATCTGCTCCGATCGCCGTCAGCAATCTGATCGACTGATTCCCAGATATATATACAACTATATGTATATATGTGCCTAGTATATAGATCCAGCATATGAATGATTTATCGCTGATATCGCTGTTTGTTTGCATTGTACTTTTGTTTCGCTCTCGTGTCAGCTTTATTTACAGACACACACATATATCGCTGTTTTTTATCGACTTCCATTCCGCGAAATTGATAGACAAAGAAATAAAAATGGAGTCAATACGTATTGTCGTATTTATCTATAATTTCTTTTTGTTTTTTGTTTAATGGAAAGCGAGAAAAAAGCGAAGAAGTTTTATACATGTAATTGCACGTAATTGGATGCCCCCGCGTGTGTCTTTCTCTGTTTTTGCTTCGTTTTTTGTTTATCGATTCCAAGTTGGGCATACGACCCAGCTATTTATCGGTTATCATATATACACATATACACATATATCATTTGTCTCTCTATATATTTTTTCTGCTTCTATCTGTGGACAGATATGAAATGGGATTGGCCATCGCCCTAAAAATTGTGATGGCAGGTGAACACTATAAACAAAAATAGAGATAATTAAACAAGAGATAATGGTAGTCTTAATTGTTATTGTATTGATTTTATAATATCTTAACTGTGTAATTTAAAATAAAAATAGTTGGAACTATGTTGGCCAGTTGCAGAGGTAACAATCCTTGATTAAAAAAAATAAAACTACCCTATGAATCAAGAACAATATATCATAGATATGAAAACAAACCGTACTAAAAATATAAATTCTTTGTAATTCCTAAAAAATTCTTTTAGGTATGGTTTGTTTTCCGTTTATTTATTTATTGCGCGGCTTAGTTTCTAATTCATGATAAAGTCAACTTATTTGTTTATACAATTGTTTCGTATATGTAATAAATCTATGCTTGAGTTATACAGAAACAAAATACTTGCACCCAACTTATCTGGATTTCTGGGAATTATTTAAGGTTTTAATTAATGAATGAAAATCTTAAGTAAGACCAGCAAATTGTTTGTCTCAGTTGCTTTAAAAAAAGCTCGAAAAAGAGAACTTGTAAACAGAGTTAGGAAAGTCAATAATACATGTTCAGTATTTTTAAGCGAAAACAAATTAAGCAAATTAATTAAGTTGAAGGCGGCAGGCTAATTAAGAATGCTAGAAAATAAAGAAAATGTTCACCTTTTTTGTATAAATTTTTAATTTGCTTTAATTAATTAAGTTGGAGGCAGGCTAATTAAAAATGCTAGAAAATAAAGAAACTTTTCACCCTTCTTTGTATAAATCTTTTTCCGCTACCCGATACGAAATAAAAGAATAAAATATCAGAATAAAAATGATGATATCACGACAAAGAAAAAATACGCCTCTGTTGCCAGCTTTTTATTGACTATACTTAACAGTTTTGTTGCTGCCTTTTACTTGGCTTCGTGTGATAACAATTAACTTGATTGTTTTGCACTACAAGCGGCCGAGAATCGAAATCGAATGTAACACAAAAAAATACGAGTAAACTACAGTGAAACGAAGAAGATAAAAAACCAATATCGTATCGTGGCAAGTAAAATAATAAAAAAACATCAAGATTAAAGACAGAACATGCGTGTAATGAGCCAAGCAGCGGTAAAAGTATTAAAACGTTGTTGAACAACGTCAAGAAAAAAAGAACAAGCCACAGAATTACATCAATCAAAGTTAAGTTTTTTTTTTTTGGGGGCGGTCACCAGTCGATAAAAAAAAATAAAACAATCAGAAAAGCGAAGCAAGATGATTGGAAATAAATAAAAGTTAAGCTGATGGAATGTTATCAACAAGCACTTCACAAATGTTAAATATATTCTGTCTTAAATGAAGTACTAAACGCCTGCTATAGAAATTCAGACAAATTTTCCACTGCGCAACCATCAGTTATTTATAGTAAAAAAATTATCTTTATGTTTTACCTATCGCCTAGCCTTCACTTGGACTATCGGTAAGACTGCTGATAAGTTGATATAGGTCGTTATATGATGTTTTTCAATATAAATGACTGACTGGCCAAGGTCTGACAGTAGCTAAACAGAGAGTTTAACAATCATTCAATTCAGTTTGTTATTTTCTACAATTTGCCATCAAAATTGAACACATTTTCAGTAATCTTTGGCCGAATCGGTTTATCTCTGTGTCTATATCGCCTTGAGTGACTTGACACACTTCAATTACCCCCGCTTTTGCGAAAAGAAACCACTTTGACAATGCAATTACAATGGATTAATTAAAAAGGCAACTAGTATCTGAACAATCTGTTTATGTCTGTCTATCTGTTTTCGTGTAATTACATGTGTTTTGGCTCAAATTATTATGGCGGCTGTTGTTGTTGCTTTATTAATGTTGTTTAATTACGTTCAATAAGATACAAGGTTCGCAAACAATCAAAAAAAAGTAATCACAATAAAAAATATACACATATATTGCAAATCATAAGGTCTATTAAATCCTTTGACTATTCAGGGATATATTCTTTAGGGTCTTTGATCTTTGACCTTATCGCTTGGGTAATTAAACGCAACTCCACGGGTTTCCATTTGGATTTCAGTTTTTTTTTTGTTCACAAAACAATAACCAAATCACAGGGGGCAGCCCCATTCGAACTCTTTGAATTCACAATTAATTAGGAAGTTGAATTCGAAAGATGAAATTATAATAGAATTAAATAATTGCATTAGGGCAGAACAGCTTTGTAGTAATTAAATAAGATTAAAAACGGGGTTATCAAAAATTGTTCAACATATTCTCTCATATATAATAATTAAACAACGCAGTTTACTTGCCACATAATTACTTATTTAGTGTCTTTAGTTAGCCTACTATTCTTAAACTTAGGAATTCTTAACGAACAGTAACTTTTATTGATTGCCCCACCTTCAATGTAATAACTTTTTAAACAAACAAAAAAGCCAAGTAAAGTTAAACAAAATAAAAAGGTGCATTAACCCCTCTTGAAAGGGGTTTTTCATTTTTTTTAATACCTTTCTTAGTTTTAGTTCACCCGGAGTGTTTTAGTTTTATTTTTGAAGAAAGAGAGGTAATAAACGGCATTATATCATCACCGTAGTGTTGATTATTATGATCGGCCCAAAGTCATCGCATATGTCCAAGTACAGTTAGTAAAGTGCTTTTTACTACTGCCATTCAAACTGAAAAAAAACAAAGGCTTCACGACACAAAAAGCGAGAAAAAACAAAACAAAAACATTTTTCGGCTTTAATTACAATGCATAAAAAATACAGTAAAAACCCGAAAACAGATTTAACTATATAGCGTTTGTGTGTTGGACATTGACCGTCAAATGAGAAGTCTGAAAAGTGTAACACGCCTCGTCGCATTTTAACTTTTCTCTATTTATCCCCAAACCTAAAACAATGGGATTGAAATTGAGCCACTGCCAAGAATATTTAATGGTGTAAACTACATTTAATTAAAAGGTGATTTCTGGGGAAAAAATACTGTCTTTTTTCACAAATAAAGTAAGCAAAACATTTGCCTAATTACCATTAATGGGAAATTAATAATTGTGTGTCGTCTGATATTAAATTAATTCCTTATATTCAATAAATATAAATGTTTTTCTTCTTTTTCAGATGATATACCTTTAAGTATCAATTAATCCAGAAAAAGCAGTAGCAGTACTATGGTAATATCGGTCGGAACGATGGGCCTTGTGCCGCAGCTACATCGAAAGTTTGCAACATATCGCAGGCTGTAAAGAAATAAAATTGCAACGCGAAATTGCAGATAGACCCAAGGATACAATCGATATATATATTGAAGAGGAAAACCCGGGGTGAAGCACCACCCCCGCCCACCGCCACACAAATGAGGGTGCCACCAACAGGTTGACCACCTTATAAACAAAACAAAACAAACAAAATAACGTAGTAATAAAAAAAAACCAACCGCACGACAAATAGAAAAGGCAATAACAACAGAAACCACCAAGCCACTAAGCCAGCCATCAAAAGAGATAGAAAAAAAAACAAAAAAAAAAAGGCGAAATACGAAAAGTAAAAACCCCTGATAACCCCCTCAAAAACCGCCTGGAAAACCACTAGAAGCCCGCTACAAAATGTTACAAAACTCGAACGCCGCTGCCGCAGCGCATTCGGCAGCTCAGGCGGCCTCGGCGGTGGCGACTCCGGCAGCGGCGGCGGCAGCAGCGGCATCGGCGGCAGCGGCTGCCGCGGCGGCAGCAGCAGCAGCAGCGGCGGCCAACAACGCGGCACTGGCGGCCTCCTCCATCCAGCCCAAGCTCATCGTCATCCGACGGCGGCCGAACCAGGGATTCGGTTTCACGCTGCGCCACTTTATCGCCTATCCGCCGGAAGATGACCAGGCATCGGCAACGGGATCTGGATCGGCGGCAGCAGCGACGACGGCGGCATCGACATCGGCCGGCTGGCCACAGGTGAGCAGGGATGATGGTCTAAAGCAGAGTTGTCTCAATTCCATCTTAAAAACCATTTTATATCAGGCCTCACATTAATATATATAGTTTAATGCTTGTTCGATCTTATCGGCGACGGATATTGATATAAACAAAATTATACCACACGGATGGGGTTATAGAAATAGATACTTAGTGAATCACTATAGATACTGGATAGATAATACATCATGGTGGCTACAGGATACGATTTAAGGATGAAAGTTAAAGGATAGTGAATACCGTAGGCCACAAAGAGCAGAGGCAATGAGAAAAAAAATGTACAGAGCAAAAAGATAATTAAATTTTTAAAAAGATAAAGATTAAATTTCTTAATAATTTCCGCAAGTTTACTATTGTTAAACCCCAACACTACAAATTTTCTAAAATTTTACTATATTTATTTTTAATACATATTTTTTACAATTAAATTCCTATCCTCGTATTTTATATTTGTTTTTTTTTTTTATTTATTAAATAACACCTTTATAATAATATTTTTCAGTTTATATTTTTGTCTGCAAATTAAGATTTGTAAGTTTTAAGAGTGTTCATTATTTTCAAATGTTTTACTGTGCATATGGGAGTTAATTGATCGCAAAGGAAGTGCAAGTGAGAGAGCGAGAGTGTCTAGGTGAGTAGGAGGAAAAGGGAGAGCAGCGCATGCGCGCCGGTCAAGTAATTTTTGAAGTCAAGCAATTAGTCATCGGGCTCTCTCTTTCTCCTGCTTTTCCTCTTATTCTCTCTCTGCCTCTCTGCTGAGCCGCTGCCTCAGTCGACGTCGTCGTCGGCGTTTGGCGTTACGTGAGCGCTGCGCACGCGCGACTTATTCAAATTGCCGCTTTTGCTTTTTCTGCTTTCTTTTTACTTTTCATTTGTGCGACGATGATATCCTACACAAAAAGTTCACTAGTATTTTTCTAGGGCTTAAAAGAAGTTAATTGTGAATTTTTAAAATTTATGAACTCTTGCAAAAAATATTAAATCAAACACCCTTTAAATAAATAAAAAAATCCTTTAAAACTTAAAAATATAATGTTATTAAATCAAATATTTTAAAGTTAAAAAAAATGTATAATTCAAAATTGTATAATGTATAAAAAGTATAAATGTCATAAAACATCAATAGGACCACCATGCGTATGAATAATATATGACCGGTTAAGAACACTGCGTATGAGTGTTTAAAATGTGTACTTGTATTATGTAAGGGTATTGAAATGTCTGTAGAACCTCCCTTCTCTTTATTTTTTGTTTGTATTTTTTTTTGCACTAATTTGCGTTTTGCTCACTTCACTTTTTTGTGCCCGTTTTATTTTTGTTGATATTACAACCTCCGCTCGCCGCTCTCACTCTCGCGCACTCTCTTTCCGCTCTCTCCTTGTCGCTCGCACGGCGACTTAATCCAATCTACACTCTCCTCGCAAATGTTGTTGCTTCACGACCAACAGTCGCGTTCAGTCTAAAAGCACTAGTAGTGGAATTTTCATCTATCAGACTTTGATAATTTCTAAAATTATGTAAACTACTTAAATATTTCGAAAATAATTGTCACCAAATTAAAAATAATAAACATGTTAATGTAGTTTATTTGTGTTCAATTTAAGGTGAATTTTTGCTTTTAAATACATTAAATCCTTTCGTTTATTAAAAAAATTTACTTTTTAATATATACACCGAATTTAAGGATACGTCATTGCATACAAAACATTATCTTAATGATAATCAACAATAATATAACAAAAACCTTAGGCTTTTTCAAGATATTTTTAGAAATTGGAATTTAAAGTAAAGTATTATATGCACATACATATATTGTTTTTAGAGTGGGCTAACTGATATGTTCACATCAAATTTTATTAATGGTCTATAAATTTAAAAAAAAAATCATATTTGTCTTATATAAACTACCAATAAAAGTTATTAGATATAACTATAATATAGTTTTTTCGAGGAAGCCACTTAATCTGCTCACCACAAGCGTACATCTGACTAACTATTTTTTTTTTGTTTCGGCTTCGTTTGGTGTGTAGGAAGCCTCCAGTATGGCCGGCAGCAGCAGCGGCAGCAGCAGCAGCGTCGGCGTCGCCGGGATCACCGGTTTGGAGCCAACGTCGCCGACGTCGCTGCCGCCGTACCAAGTGAAAGCGATGGAGACCATTTTCATCAAAGAGGTGCAGGCGAACGGACCGGCCCACTACGCCAACCTGCAGACGGGCGACCGCGTGCTGATGGTCAACAACCAGCCGATCGCTGGCATCGCCTACAGCACCATCGTCTCGATGATCAAGCAGACGCCGGCGGTCCTCACGCTGCACGTGGTGCCCAAGGAGTGCGATGTCCTGCAGATGGTAAGCTCATTCCAGGATGTTTTCCATATGCATACACGCTGATGCTCAGCCCAAGTTCCCTTTGCAAGAGCTCACTGATCATCCGAGTTTTTTGGGGTTTCTTTTGACCTTTCATAGCGCAAAGGTGCCAACTTAACATACATATAACAGAGGTGTCAGTTCATAAACCAAAAAAGTAAAAAGTTTTCATAAAGAGATGAGTGTCTCCCAAAAAACGACTTCAGCTCTAAAGACTTTCAAAGAGTGTTTCAGATCTCTTAAATCTTCACATACTTTCAAGTAAAATAATTCGTCGGTATCTCGAATTTAAATGTTTTTAAAGTGAAGTGCTAATTTGGACACGAATTGCCTTAAAAATATATTTAAAATACGTGCAAGTGAATCAAATTAGAAATTATTGTGTGACTCACATATTACTGCGAAATCTATTAAATACTTTATTGTTGAATTAATTTTAAATATAACACATTTGATTTAATAAACATAAATTTAAACATTTTTAAACATTGGAAATTATTTTGTATCAGCTGTTAATATGATATTAACACCTTTTTCATGCTAAATTGCAATTGATCTTTTATTTATCGCATGCAGAAAGGCGGCGGCAATGTTATTGTTATTTCACAAAAGATAAACAAAAAGTAAACCGCTTTGTTAAGCAGTTAATTTTTAAACAAATTTGGCAATTAACGATAAACAAAAGATAGCTTTCTGTGAAATCAACACATTTTCCCTTAGCCAGTGATTAATAGAAGTGATTGATGGTCGATTTATAAACAATAGTAAAGGTTTAAGTTAATTATTAGTTAATTAAGGCTTGAAGAAAGTATTTTAATAAGGTTATTTATGCTGATATTTTTGATAATTGCTTAAATTTAAATTAAAGCTATATTAGCTTTTAGATTATAAAGTGAGAACGTAACTATAAATACTTTACATCCACTGTTAAAATTGTATTGTTATGTTATCATCTCTAACTTGTTTTTCCTTGTTTTATTTATTTTTTTTTTTTTGCAGCACTATACGAGCATTGCCCACACACCAGAGTCGAATCGCCTGACCATGTCGACGCACTCGCCCTCGCTGCTGGCCAATGGCTCCCACAAGACCACATTTCCAGCAGCAACAGCAGCAGCAGTTGCAGCGCCACCGCAGCAACATCAGCAGCAACATCAGCAGCAACAGTTGATCTCATATCCCGCTGTTGCAGCCGTGACCACATCATCGCCGTCAGGATCGCCGCACTCGCATTCGCACTCGCATTCACAATCGCAATCGCACTCGCATCCCAACAACTCCCATCATGCGCCATCCCTGCACGGAGGCAGTCGATCGGGCAGCATCACCAGCACGGCTAGCGCAGGCATCACCATCCTGAGTCACCAGTTCTACCCACAACAACAGCAGCAGCAGCTACAGCAGCAGCAGCAGCAGCAACAGCAGCAACATCGTCATCCGGCGCTGACTGGCGGCAGCAGCAGCATCGATTTCGGGGACATGGCACATGGACTGCGGCAACATCATCAGCAGCAGCAGCAACAGCAGCAGCAACAGCAGCAACATCTTTACCAGCAGCAGCAACATCATCATCAGTTCATGCGGTAAGTCAACAAAATAAATGAGCTCACCTTGGCGAACGGACGGCCAACGGCAAACGCCAATTGACGTCACACACGATAGCAATTACAAAAGATTTTCGGATTTTCGGATTTGGGGAGAATACAAAAAAAAAAAAAACAACAAAAAATAGCACACAATTTTACAACGTTTTGTGATCGCCAAACAAAATTGAGGGTCTTTTTCAATATTTTAATTTAATTTTCACTTTATTATAACATATTTGCCAACTCTTATCTTTTCAAATAACATATACAAAAATGATTCAATTTTGATCATTTGTGAAATCAAATTTAATTCAATGTCCGATTTGGAGAGTAAAGCAAATTCTTCCCAAAAAGTTGATTCCAGTGGTCTCTTTGGGAATTTATATTCATTATTTCTTGACTTGAAATTATTAATGTTCTGCAAATAAATATCTATTAGTTTTAACAAATATAGAAATATTTAAAAGTATTTTTATAATTGTAGCTGAAAATGAGCCCTTTTAAAATACTGAATTACTGGTTACTGGTTATAAATTTTGATAACAAATCCAAAATTAAAGAAAAACAAATTGTCGAATTTGTAATCTAATCGAGACCAAAACGAAAAACACTTCTGATACAATTTAGCAATCTGCTTTTATCATTAGACATTTAATTTACGCACATTACGCACAAATCCGGTTGGTGGGCATTACTTCGAAACCATTTAGGATCTTGGCCAGCGGTATGACCAAGGCGAAAAGTCCATAGCTTTTGATAAAGGTCCAACAGAAATGGTCGTTAAAAATGACCGTCCAGGAAGATCGCACCAAACGCCGCAGCTTAAGCGATATATTTGTCTTCACCATAGCGCCAGAAAACTGTCCATTGAATGAATTGTGGATTTAGAAATGAAATCTATAACGATAGTCTTTGGTGTTTGCCAAATAGAACAATACCTGATTATTTTGATTAACTGGAATGAAAACTGAACAGATTTTTTATCCTTGAACGTGTGCGCTCCAAAAAACCGAAACAATACTGCTTGTTTGTTTCGAGATGAGATCACAGAAAACACCAGGGCAACTAGGTTTGATTGAAATATTACTTTTGACTTAAACTTTCGGGTTGCTATTGCCTACAATTTATTATTTAATTTTGAAATCATTATCAACATTATTTTTTTTTAAAGAAAACATTTTGAGCAACATTGATGCGTTTTGCTCCACTGTTCGGTGGCGATCTGTTGTGATTTATGGTGGCAAAAGTTGAGAGGCGGTCAGTCTTCTCTCCTGTCTTTCATAGCATATATATATATATATATATATACATACATACATGTGTATGCATAATGCACATTATTTCACTTTCATTGCCAGCATAAAAATCAACGAAATAAATAAGTGAAAACCCAATATTCGAAATTGGAAACGAGAAAAACTGAAAGCTGTAAATAAAAAAAAAAAAAAACAAAAAAAGGCAACGATAAAAATTAAGCTGATGAACTAAATGACATTAACTAACTGCATAATGAACAACAACGGACAGCGAACAATGCGCATAATTAAAAGCAATTGTAAACGAACTCTGTGCAAAAGGTTTTTCCACCCCTCGAGCCAACATCCCTCTATATGTACGTTTTTTTTTCCCCCCTTTGGCATTTTCTTTCTGATCTCTGACATTAAGTGCAATTTTTAGGCTTGTTTTTATATTGTCTTTACTTTCTACTGAATAGCCATTCGGAATTATTTGTAGCAATTAAATTGCACATAAAATGCACAAAACTCAATAGAAAAGCCATGTAGATACTATATAAAATGAATTTTAATATAAATAACAATTCAATGTAATTCATGTAAACACAAATTTGTACTACCAATTATTTGGTATTATCTAATAGTTGTCAAACGCAGTTTCAATTGGATACCCTTTCTCAACGGCCATTAATTTATACGGGGGATATAGATGATGATGACCGAATGCCATCATCACCATCGCCATTTTCCCCCATCCTTTGATTCTATAAAATATAAAGACCAAAATCGGCAGACCAATATTGGTCGCCATTGTGGCTGCGTTGCGGCCTTTTCGGTGATTTCATCCTCATTTTCCCCTCGAAACCCACTCCCCACTCCGATTCTCCTTCATCATCTGGCGTTCTCATTTCGTGAATTCCTCATTTCAGTTCAGTTCAGTTCATTTCATTCATCGCTCGTCTCGCGCTTATATTTCCATGCATATTTGTCATTGTTTTGCGTCTGTCTGTTCTGAATGAAAATTATTTTCCATATATTTTCCGCTGTCTGTATGGAGATGTGCAAAAGTTATTTATTATTTTGACGTCAGCCAGGATATTACATATAGGAACGTTTCTTTTCTCCTATCCCCCGATTACAAAAGGTCACTCGGGATGAATGTAAAAGTTGTTATCAAGTGGTATGATTTTTTTTTCAAGTAAAATCTTTTTAAGGTGTAAGAGTTAAAACTCCACCAATAACACTTAGTTAATTGAATTTTAATATAACTACCAACTTACTATTTGTACCCCTCAAACTGTCAAATTGATATCTTTCCCCCATCGAGAAAATAAATATTCTTAAAGTGTATTGACAGGAAAAGTTAACACTTAACTAAAAACAATTAGTTTAATTGGATTTTGTGGAACTACAAAATTCAACAAACCATTTTGTTACCTCCATTAAACTCTCATATTATTATCTTTCTTTGTTTACAATTTCTCTCATTCTTCTTGGAAAGTTTGTCACGTCTTCAGTTGGCTGCATGTGCAATTTTTAAATTACGTGAGCCGGATTGGGCAAACTTTTGTGAACATCTAGAGAACTGTCAGTCAAAAAAAAAAAAAAAAAATACATACATGTCTATTGACCAACTGACAATTTTCCCCACACCCGAATCTCTTAATTGTGAGATAACTTCAGAAAAACGGACAGCTCCACGGGAGTGATTGATTATTGATTGCTTTCCATGTGAACGTTGTTTTTATTTATTTTACAATGGCACAATTTGTACCTCCGGGAAATTTCAATTAATTAAGGCTTTAAATTTTCAGATCAAGCCGTTTTCCGATTGTTAACCAATTTTGGGGTTTCTTTTGGTTTATTTTTTTTTTTATTACTTTTATGAAAGTTTAATGGCATTGATTCATTATAAACTTGATTTTGTTAGAGGTCGAACCTTGCTAAAACGTTATTAACGCATATATAGTATGTATGTATTTCTGCAATCAGGCGCATAAATTATTGAGAATTATTTTAATATTCCAAACGCAATATCGGACATTTTTCAACACCAGTCGCCAGTGGCATTGCGTATACGCAGCGTTGCTGCACATGAATATGAATAAATAAATCAATTTTTTTTATATAGCAACAAAAACCCATTGACTAATCGAGAGAAGAAAAAATAAAATGAGGGAAAAGCAGGCAACGCAGTAATGGAAAAAATAATAAATAAATAACCGCATAACCTTATGCACACAAACACCACAACACAGCGGGTGTAAATGGACACCTCGCAACAATAACAATAAATTTGTTGAACTGCAAAGGCGAATATTTGCTCCATTGTTAAATGATTACGATAAATTTAATTGAATTTTGTATGCCAGCCAGCCAAAGAATGGGGAGGAAATAATGCCTTCAATTCCCGCAGACATCAAGTCGTCGTCGTCTTGTCCCTTCCGTTTCATTCCATTCCTCGCCGTTGAAGCGAACGAGAGATTTATCTTTTCGAGATTGAGATGGAAATTGAGACGACTCAGATTGAGTTTGAGCTGATCTCGCGACTCGACGGGGGGCATTATGTAAATTATTGACTACTTCAGGCATTCCAAACATGCCACTAAAGTTGTATGCACTGAAGGAAAGAATATGGCCCCTATATAAAGGGCTTTTATACATATGCATTATCCTTTTGTTTGCATACGCATTTTCGCTTACTTGATTGATGGACTGATTGATGGCTGGCGAAAATATGTCATCGAAAATGCAAAACTCAATATTTGCTGCGTAGCATTGCGGGCACAGTGGATGGAATTTGTTTATTTCTTATAAATACAAGCCACTACCTTTCAACCGTTTAGTTTTAAAGCCATTTTTTGTTCTAAAAAAAAATAAAGAAAATCATTATTAAATGCTTAATTATTGCTTTAATTTTTTTAACATTTTTAAATTTCAATTTAATAGTCTGCTCTTCATTTTGCCCCACTGTGCTTTATACAAATTTAACTACTTTGCTTTGACAATTACGTATACGCCCTGCGGTTGGGTGTTATCCACCCCTCCGCCCACACTGTAAATAAATAAACAAGGCAAGGTTGGTCGTGGGGTGGGCTATATATATTTGGTCAGTCGGTGACTGATAGTGATATAGTGATTCCCACTCTGTTTCCCTTTTGCCCTCGAAGTCCCGTCCTGTGCAAACAGTGGGCTGCTCCCTTCGCCCACTGATAGCACCTCACTTCTTTTTGTATTTTTTATTGGTTTATCTATTTATTGGTTATAAAACACAGTGAGCACCCGCATTGAACTATTGGTATTGAGTATAGAGGTTCAACCCGGAAAATTACTTAAAACAGTAGGGCAATATGAGAGCCTGTTCTGGTTTTCAATTTTCAACATGTTACTCAAATTCTAATTTAATTCGATTCCTGTTTGTACAATTTTTTTTTTTCTTAATTTTTAAAATTTGTACTTTTGCTTTGGGCAAAGTACATTTAAACGGACCTTAATATTAACGTTAGTTCATTTAACGTTAGTTTATTAAGATATGGAAAAATAATGTTGTTTGTGATTTTACAACCCGAAGTTCTATTTTTAGAAAAATGAAATGAATGGATATCATATTTAAGGCTGTGGGGGTAGTCCACAATTGTTTTTTTTTCAATGACAAATACATCTGGGTAGGACTTGCAAAATTTGTGGAAAAATTCCAGTTCTTTTTGTGGGTGAACACTGTACTGAAATAATAACATAAAAAAGGGAATCATGTGAGGGGAGAGCATCGGTCGGTGGGTCGTTCGCCATTCGGTCGCTGCCCACTCAATGGGTCTCTTTCAATTGCTGAGCCTCTGCCGCTCTTTAATACGATTTCATACGTGCATACAAAGCCAATTTTTGCTGTGTTTTGTTGTGCCTTCTTTTTTTTTTATTTTTTTATTTTTTTTTTTATTTGTATTTGTATTTTCTTTTTTTTTTTATTTTAGTTAGTCGCATGGACTTTGCGTAGTACTTTAGTTTAGTTGACGATGGCGAACGGTTCGCGCAGATTTCCGATTTTGTGATACGCGGCAAAACGAAGTTTTTTTCTTGTAATTTTAATTTATTTATTAGAATATTTTTTAAGAGAATTTCATTGAGATCTCTTGTTGTTTTTTGTTTTGTGATGGATTTATTTTTGCCCTAACTGTCATACATACGCTGCCAGAAAAATGTATGCGCTACCATTGAATGGCGACAAAAAGCCGCCTATGCTTATACATATGAAAATGATACGGTTCGAGATCGATTCCAATAGTGAAAACAGGTTAATTTGCCATTTATCTACTATTAAATTGTGTCGTCTTGCCATCTTTATTTTTCGGTTTTGTCCCCCTAATTACTAAGTGTGAAATAAAAACCAAACAATTTGAGAACATAACAAGACACCACAAATTGCAGAGACCTTGTCCAAAAACAACAAAAAAATAGGACATTAGATCAAGAGTTCAAGTGTTTTCAATGAGGCGAAGATCAAAGCGATGAAAGCGACTCCCTCGCCAGAAACTATTAAAAACAAAGACCACAATGAACGTGACTTGTGTAAAGGTTTTGCCGGCGCCCTTGAAAAGGTTGCAATCAATGGGTTTCATCAGTTCAAAGTGGAAAACAAAAACCCAATCAACACAGAAAGAGAGTGTTTTTTTCTATCGAAGGCAGACAAAAATTAAAAAAGCCAGTCACTCTTGTACAATGAATATAAAAATCTATATTTGGGTATTCTTTGGAAGATACTATTTCTTTATTATTTATTAATTAAAATGATTTGTTTTTATATCTAAAAAAATCAACATTATTTTTGTTGAACTATTTTATTTAACAAAGGCTACTTTAAAAAGAAAACCTTTAAAATTAAACCCTGTAGCAAAATGTTATATTTTTAAAGGGAAAACTATTTTTTTTTTTTGAAAAAATAAGTAAAATTTTGCGAAAACACACTGGGAGAAAATAAAAATGCGTGAGTGGATGTGTTTTTTGCTAACAGGTTATCTCTCTTTCTCTCTCTCTCTCTCTCTCTTTCAAAATCTATCCCTTTCGCTCTTCGTCTGCTTTTGCTGCTTATCAAATGTGTCAACAATTTTTTATTTATGACTTGTTAATTGCAAAGAGTGGCAAGAGTTGGCAAAACGCAAATCAGACAACAAAAGTAATACAAAATAAGTCCCACAGTGCATGCAACGAGCAGACAATAAAAGCTCGAAATTCCGCATAGAGAAAGGGAGAGAGCCTGTAGATATGTACAAACATTTTTATATATATATCTCCTATAGATATGGCTAATTCGGTGGCCGCCTTTTATCGATATGCACCAACAATATGGGATTTACATATGGGGGTGACAAGGATTATTCGGGGACTTTCAAAGGGGGTGCAATGAATCAAATCGAATTGTGTCAAAGCTTTTCTGTATCATATACACATGCACCAAAAGAAATTTAAATTAGAACAATTTTATAAGAACATTTTTGCAATCATTTTTTTTTTGTTTTGATGTATTGGTTATTTATAAAAATATAAAATAAATGAAAAGTGAAGATGTTGCATCTGTTTTAATGTTTTGTATCAACTTCATTCGCTCAGTGTAGAACCCACATATCGAATATTGTATGTATGGAGGTTATGCATAGATAATAATGGCAGCGAATACGCGCTCGCACACCAATAATCACACATTCATTTGCTGGGGACACGCGCTCCTGATCCGAAGAATTTTTTTTTATTTTGCCATTGCTACCTGCTCTGCCGCTGCACAGTGGGTCAAAATCAAAAATTAAAAGGCAAATTCTTCGTTCTGAAAACATGTTTACAAGTGTATGTGCTTATAAACTTTTGTATTAATACAATTTCATATTAATTTTCATAAATATCAAAATACAGTTTCAGTTTAATGACTGTATTTTTAATAATATGCTTTAAAGTTATTTAACGTCATCCTATCCCTTATATTCTTTTGTATTAAAATTAAGATTAATCTTTGACTGACAATATACATTTTTTTTTATTTTATTTTGTTGATATAAATACATATATGCAAAATATTTTGAATTTTTTACTTTCTTAACTTGCCTGTACCACTGTACGCTGAAAGCTAGGCAATAGAAATATGGTGCAAATATGTGTGCGTTTCCTTTACTCTGCGACCTGTGAAATATGATCCAGGGATAAAAAAAAAAAAAAAAGGGCGGGACTGGGGGCCACACCTATTCATTACCTTTTGACCTTGACAGTCTGCCGGTGTTTTGTGCCTCGAGTGTGGGAAAGGCTTTTAAAAGCGAATTGAATTAACCATCCTGGCGCACACACTCACACTGCCGTTTACCATACTATTTTTAGCTTTGAACTTTCATTTGACAATCTCGGCACTTGGATGTGTATGTGTATGTGGATGTGGATGAAGATGCGGGGTCCAAGGTTCAAGGTCCAGGGTCCAGGGTCCAGGAAATGGAGGCATAGTTAAACTAATTTGTCGTTTCTAGTGGCATCGCAACAGAGGCTAAAACTCGATACGCAAATGTTCTTCCTTTGTGTGTGCGTGTGCCACATGGAACTTAATTATTCGAGCTTCTCTCTGCCACTTAAACTATGGCCCAAATCTAATTTGTTTTGTTTGTGTGTTGCCTACTGTCTGCTGCCTGTTGACATTTGCTTGTCTGTTGAGCGTCCACTGTAGTAGAGGATGTAAAGCACAGGCAGCGAAACAGAAAACTGTTTAAAAACCAGTCCACAATTTGACATTCTCACATATTACATAAGGCTTTTAGTGTCAATTAGGGATGTCAAAGGAAAATGCAGAAATTTTGACATTGCAAGTTCAAGTTCGTACCTAAATAATTTATAGAGTGCTTTCCGAATTGTTTATGTAATGTTATGTAATGGGAACTAATGTCCATTAAAAACAACCTATAATTACATTGCAATACATTCATTTAAAACTTAGATCTGCAACTTTTCAATGTGGTTGCACAAGTTGGAAAATTAAAAAACTTTTCTCTGCCGCGTGGTGTGTGAAAGGTTCCCCTTCACCGCCTTCTCTTACACAAATGGATATGTAAAACGCATTGTTTAGTTTCCGATTTTTCCCCCTTTAGTTAGTCTGTAAGTCATGGTTGGGTGATAATAAAACAGAGATTCATGTTTTTCACACAACAGTTTGCGTCAGTGACAGTTATAAATTGAAGTTGCTTTATTTTGAATAGATAAAAGTGTTGGCTTTAAAGTTTTTTTTTTTTGTAGAAATAAATATTTCTCATACAAAAAACCTTGTAAATTATTATTATTTTAAATTACACCCTTTTTACCTGTTGTGGTATTTTCTTTTTCTGATTTCCAAATACTTGTTATGAGCATTGCAATGAATCACGGACTTCTTTGTGTTGCTGTTTAAAATGCACAGGCATTTATTAGTTACACTTGAGATGTTCAAACGGAAGCAAAATTAAATTAATTCAATACAATTAAATTCAATTATTTCAAAGAAATAAGAATAGTGAGCTATAGATTTGTTTTCCGCAAAGTAGGGAATGGAATTTGGCTACGGGGAGTTCGTGATCGGCGTACTTGATAGCAAATATTGCGCATGCGCCGCGTGTGACGACAGCGAATGGGCACCAAACCACAAATTCATTGAGCGACTGACAAACTGACTGACAAATGGCACGTGCCATCAAAAAATGTACGGGGCTGACTTGGAGCGTACTGTTTTTGGGCGATTGCCAATTTGGAGCTACTGCGTCGACACCCATTCGCCTGCGTCTGATTCAATTGACAAATATTTTTGTTTTGCTAAAAAATTAACAGGCCACCAAAAAAAAATGTCTAGATCCGCCAACAGAAGCACTTTTGCGAGCACTTTTCATTGCTGCGAGGCAAATAGAAAGGCAGACTGTTGATTTTAGTGTTTAAATAGTTACAATTTCTTTATTTCTTTTGGTGTAATAACAAAAATATTGGAATTTTTATCTCAATTCTGTTTTCCTGGGTGGCCAGTGAATCAATAAATACTTAAGTAATCAGTTTTTTGATATTAGTTTTTGAATTTAAAAAATATAAATTTTGAGAGTAAAACATTTGTTTTTTTTAATTTATTTAAACTATCTTATATTGTTTGGGTCAAAACGGCAGCTATACAATGCCAGAACTAACATTGAGGTATTAAAAGCTTTAAATACCTAAGCGTTAATCTAAAAAATAAACACTATGAAACGATTTTAAATGTTTAGTAGTTTTAAGAGAAATTATTTGTTTGTTCCATTTTTGAAAATTTGTTTAACACATTTTAATGTTTTCCTATTGCTTTTACTATGTTTCTGCAGTGCCAATCAGCCGCCAAATTTAACAGTATTATCGGCCAGTTCGGCAACGACCACGCCCACACCCACGCCCACCGCCCGCCAGCCCAAATGCGCGACGACGGCCCTCAGTCAGGCGTTATATGCAGCCAGTGCGGGACCAAATTCAGCCACCGGTTCGGGATCGGGATCCGTATCCCTTTCGGGTGGCAGTGAGAACAGCGACCTGATGATCCGACTGCGCGAATCGATCAAGCAAAAGGAGGAGTTCCTCAAGTCGCCGGTGCCCGCATCCTTGTCCTCTGCCACCGCCTCCGCCTCCTCGACCAATGGCAATCAGCAGGCGCAATCCTCATCGCCGGCACAGCAGCAACATCTGCAGCAGCAGCATCAGCAGCAGCACTTCTTTCCCTCGCACACGCCGCCAGGTGGAGTCCAGGTGGTGGTCCCTCCGCCACGCAGTCGCCACCAAGTGCTCCTAAAACAGCAACAACAACAACATCAGCAACAGCAACAGCAGCAGCAGCAACAACAACAACTTCATCAACAGCAGCAACATCATGTCCTTGGCTTCGACATGTACTATTCCGGTGGTAAGCTGGTGCAGCGATCTTCCACGGCTCCCGGCAGTGTGAGCCACCATCACCAACTGCAACAGCAACAGCAACAGCAGCAACTTCATCACCAACAGCAACATCAGCACATGCAGCAGCAGCAGCAACATCGCCAGGTGATGATCAACAACAATGCCAAGTATGCCAAGGATCTCGATTATTTCGAGACATTGCAGGAAACAGGAGTCACCAATAAGGTGTAAGTATACGAAAGTTATGGTGGCTGTAAACGGTGAAGCAGCAGATAATTAAATAGCTGCTTCACCTTTAAAATATAAAATATAAAATAAATAAAATAAAATAAAATAAAATAAAAAATAAATGTGCTATCTAAAGCTACCCTTAAGATGGTTGTATACGGTGAAGCGGCAAAGTATTTAGTAGCCGTTGCATCGTTTATAACCAATTTAGCGCAACTACATAATATAAATTAAATAAATCTGCTACAATCCACTACCCTAAAAGGTGGTAAAGATCATGTTACCCTTAAGGTGGTTGTAAATGGTAAAGTGAGAGAGAATTAAGAAGCCGCTGCACCGTATACAACCAACTTTATGCAACCACATAATATGTATATATTACTTTAATTCGCTTTCCCCGCAAATCCACAGTTTCGAGCGCAAATTGGTGTCGCACATGTCCAAGGGTTTCGATCCCTTCAAGCCGCTGTCGATCAACACCAGTGCCCTGGAGTCATCCGCCAGCACGTCGAGCACTGCGGCCACGTCGACGGTGAAGAAGCAAAGCGTGCTCTACGAGTCCCTGCAGCAGCATCCGCTGGCCAAATACCATCAGACACAGCATCAAACGTCGTCGACGATGACGACGATGACGATGTCGACGACGACGACAACGTCGACGGTGGACGGACAGGCGAGCAGCCGCATGGAGCTGCACAAGGCGACGCTGGCGAATGCCACCATCGATCCGGTGCCAGTGGCAACCAGCAGCAGTGAGTCCAGCTTAGCTAAATTCCCTTCCATTTACCCTACCTCCCACTACCTATTTAGTTCTATACACTAAACAACAATCGTATTTTTGTATTTGTATTTGGTGCAGAGTTTGTGGCGATGTCGGATAAGCCGCCCGCGGGTTCCTCCGTTGCCACCTTGGCGGACATTGCCGAGAGCAGTGGTAGGTTCTTGGTTGCCCCATCTGTCTGTCTTTCTGTCTATCTGGTTCCTTGATTTTTTTCGATTAACTATGTTTTCCTTGCTTTTAACGAACCTTTTTGCAATTTCTTTATTTCAATAATCGGTAGTCCTTTTCTGAGATCATAACTCTTTAAATATGTCCTTAACTTAATGTATCTACATAAAAGATTGTAATAATGATTTATATTTATTTAAAATAGTTTAAAAATCCTATTTTAATCTATATCTGTTGTGATATGACATGATATTTTAAATAGTTTAACGCTTAACACCAAACATTTAATATTAATAAGCTAAAATGCTAACATCTCTATTTATATTTGTATTATTCTTTCCTAACATTTTCATAGGGCTTTAAAAACATATACAAATTTAATGTCACTTTTTGTAATGGCTTTTAAAGAAATGATAGATTTAATTTATTTTATAGATTCTCTAATTGCCTGCCTAAAATGCTATAAATAATAAAACTAATTTTAATTTAGAGCGTAATAAGTAATTGTTTTATCAAGGTTTCTGCTAAAAGTAGAAGCTTAAATTGTAAATATTTTTCACACATACAATACATATAGTCGGGCGTTTAACGCACTTGGAGAGTTCTAAATATTAAATTAAGTCTGTTGATGATATAAGCCGATAATCCATTTATTTTTTCGCCACATTTACAGCTGCAGCCATTGTGGACTGTGCTGTGGGCAGCGGCAACGTTGTGCGACGCTACAAACCATTATCCTCCAGCTCCTTTGACGAGGGCAAACCGATGCGCAGGATCTCCTATCTTCGCGCCACCAACAATGAGGCCGATTTCAATGCGGACGCAGCAGCTGGCGGAGATGCTGCTGCAGCAGGATCGGGATCGGGATCAGCAGGAGTAGCATCCGTTGCATCAGGAGTGACTTCAGCTGCATCTGCTTCTTCAGTCGCTCCTACACCTGCATCCGCACCCGCAACCGCACCGCTGCCCATTTCGATACCCATTCCCATTCCCAATCCGGTGGCTGCCGTCGTGGAGCCGCAGAAGACGAAATCCCTGGTGGAGGAGCATCCGGATCCCACCTACGATGTGATCGGAGGCACTGGCGGCGGTCACGAGTTCATCGAGACGCCCAACGGCCTGGAGGATGTGCGTCTGTCGGCCCACGGAAGTCGCAGGGCCTCCATGAGCAGCGACATGCGTAGCAGGTTCGTTGGTTTCCCTTCCTAGTTTTTCCCTTCCTTGTTTATCCCCATTACTTAAGTGTGTAACTAATGTTTTGTGCCTTGGATAGCATACACATCGATGCCGAGCTGAATGGCAAATATGTGCCCAACGAACTGGAGGCCTTCGAAACGGAGATTGAGATCAAGTCCTCTTGCATCAACGGAAAGGTGCGTGCTCATACTGCGATACTTTAGCCATAGCCATAGCAATAGTGTATAATTATATTTAATTATATTTATTGCCTCTGCAGCGCATGTCCGAGTACCGATCGTGGCGTCAGGTGAAGCTGGAGATCAAGGGCGATCTGCTGCGCATCTACTCAGGCCGTCATGCCAAATCGGAGCACAATGTAAGTGCACTTTAAGTGGCTATTTATTTATTTATCTTTCACTTCTTATTCAATCCTAATCGATCCGAAAAAAAACGACAATGATATGAGCATTGAAAGAAAGGAATTTATTAAAGTTGTTGCTACAGTTGCTGCCTCGGTGACTAAAATAATTTAAAAAATAATAATGAAATTTGTCAGGCTCATTAAATACATCAATATGAAGCCTTTTATAAGTACGATTTTATTTTCGATAAAAAAATCGATGCCTTATAATCCCAAAATGTTGATTGATTTCCTTAGCAGATTTTTTTCCATATTTTCTAAAACAAAAATTACCAAGATATGTTTATTTAATATATACAGCTGGAAATAACAACAAAAACTAGTTCTGAAGCAATTTTTTAAAATGTATTTAAATTTTCATAGAGTTAGGTATATTATACCTAATACATTTAAATATTAAAAAAAAAAAACACTGAAAAGAGAGAATTTTTTTTTTAAATTTTATATTCAAAAAACAGATTAGATATGAAAACATTGTTATTCCAATAACAAATACAGATAAGCGAGGGTTTATTGTTATATTCTTAAATTTGTTTAAAAGAAAATTATTTTATTTACAGTTTTAATTTTGAAATCTTGAAGAACTAAAACAATATCAAAAGTTAATTAAACCTAATGTTGTTCATTGATAATTAAACATTAAGATAAATGAAAACAAAAGTTGTTCTACGCCTGAAAGCTATGATTTTAAGCACCTAATACTACAATACTATTATAATGACCTCAGCTGTATTTATCGTTAAAATCAGTTTAGTATGCCAGAAAATATCATATTTTTTTATGAGCTACCCCTAACCAATTTGAACTCTGATTAACTAATGGGTATTTGTTTCGTCGCCAGGTGATAGAACTCGATATTAGAAACTTTAAGTTCTTCGACGAGTCGCTGGACAAGAAGAAGTACTTGATCCGCATGCAGTCGAAGCCATCGCCCAGTGGCGCCCACTTGGCCTCGCTGGGCAACGAGTTGAACCTGGAGGAGGGTCAGGGTGACAAGCTGTTGACCTCCTCGGGCAGCAGCAATGCCAACGAGCCCGCTCAGCCGAACTCAGCTTCGACTACAGCATCGGCCCTGACCACATCCACCTCCTCGTCCAGCTGCAGCAGCGGTCCCTACACGGAGATCCTCTTCAAGACCAAGAGCAGCAACGAGATGAAGCGTCTGTTCGGTCTGCTCCAGTGGAAGGACAGCCTCAACTACGACGACAATGTCAGTGTGGACAAAACATTATCATTCTACAAGTATTAATATGTTTACTCCCAAAAAAAAAAACAGGAGCACCATCAGCATCAGCAGGGCAGGCAATTGGCGGAACCGCAGAAGACAGTGGCCAGTGCCAGCTATTTGGATGATGCACAGGCTGGAGGAGCAGCTGCTGCCGCGGACAGTTCGCCCCTCAGTTCGCATTCGGGTGGCATTGCCGAGGCCAGCGGTGGCCATCATCATGTGTCGGCTCTGCCAGCGGCGGCGGCCATTGTGGCGGCCACCAGCGACTCCATATCGCCGGTGATGAAGGCGAGGAAATCGTCATCGCACAAACACATACCCGACAAGGATTTGGGTTCGCCAAAATCAAAGAACTGGAAAGATTTGCTCTTTCGTCGCGGTGGTAGTGGTGGCAGTGGCAGTGGCAGTGGTGGCGTCTCCCATCATGACTTGGCCTCGCCATCCGGTTGTGGGGCGAAGCAGATCGGTTCCATTGGCGTTCCGCTGCGCAGCTGTCCGATGTCAAAGGTGAATGCGTATGTGCCGCACCTGGTGGAGGTGTGCACGAACATTGTGGAGACCAAAGGCCTGGGCGTGGTGGGCATCTATCGCATACCGGGCAACAAGGCGGCCATCTCGGAGCTGTCCGAGCTGGTCAACAACAAGGACTTCCAGTTCGAGAGCTGTGCCAGCGACGACCGCTGGGAGGATGTGAACGTGGTGAGCAGTCTGCTCAAGCTCTTCATCCGCAGCCTGCCGGATGCCCTCATGCCGGCCAGCTACTACATCAATTTCATCGAGGCGGACAAGAAGTTCGGCCTGGAGCGTATCGTCCTGCTGCGTGAGATTGTCGAGTCGCTGCCCCGCCATCCGTACGAGACAATGAAGCACTTGATCCGGCACTTGTGCCGGGTGAGCGGCAATTGTGAGGTCAATCGCATGGAGCCCAAGAATTTGGCCATCATCTTCGGACCCTCGATTATCCGCACGCCGAACGACACGCTGGAAACGGCGGTCAAGGACATGAAGCATCAGTGCCGCATCGTCGAACTGCTGGTCACTCAGGTGGGTCATCACGAAATTAAACGATTTTTGTATGCTTGAACTTGGAGTCAAAATTGTATATTTCTCTGTTTTTCAATCTATTGCTCAACTCATAGCTATGAATCATAGCGCCCATAACATGAACTATATAATCTACTTGAATTATTTGAAATGGGATTAGCTCATGTAGCTCATGAACTGAAGTAGTGTTCATTGTGATACGACTTTCTATTCTTGAAACTTTGTTTTGAAAAAAAAAACGCTGTGAACTGAAGAGTTTTTTGGGCAAGGATATTTATTCCTTTTTTTTTTAATAAGATTCCGTTAAGTCGAAGCACAAACCGCGAATTCTTTAGAATTACACTGTTTTTTTTTGTAATTCGCACGCGAGTTCTTTAGAATTACACTTTTTTTTGTGTAATTCCTGTTTAATACCCCAAAAAAGTATAATTCTAAAGAATTCACGGTTTGTGCTTCAACTTAACGGAAAAGAAATAAATCCCAACAAAATATTTTGGGTATTTTTTGTAATGCTGATGTGATCGATGAGCTGTGGGCTTTTCCTATATTCTAAGCCATTCAAGTAAAACATTTAAATTGTCAGTCAAATGGTCCAAATTTCTCCAATCATTCAGGGCTCTATTGTTTGTTATAAAACTAATCGGTGTTCTTTTCTGTTTTGTTTCTTTGATTGTTTGTGTTCTGATGACAGTATGAGTACTTCTTTGAGGGCGGCAGTCTGCCGGATTTGGCGGAGGTGAGCGGTGGCTCGGCCGCCGTGAGTGCCGCCCAGCCGCAGCAGCAGACGCAGGAGGATCAGACGAGCATGCTGCTGCACAACCTGTCCAAAATCGAGCGGATCACGGAGCGGGAGACGACGCGCACATCGCGTTTCATGCCCCAATTGAGGCGGAAGACGCATGGCAAGCGGAGCGCCGTCAGCTCGGACACGTATTCCGGCGAGAGTGTTCTGGTAAGCGGGTGCTCCTCCACCAACAACACCACCACCACCACAACCACCACCACCCACACCACAAGTAGTAGCACAAGTAGTAGCAATACAATCACCACAACCATCAGCACCACCACCATACAGCAGCGACGGGCGCAGCGCAAGGCTGTGCAGAGCATTTGCGATCAGGCTCTAATCCTGCTCCTGCCCACACCCGTTTCCTCCGTCTCTCTTCCCTTTCAGTCGCTGGACTACGCCAAGGTGTCCGCCTCGGCCTCCGCCTCTGCCAGCAGTACGGCCAGCACTTCGAGCAGCTCAACGCTTCACAGCGGTGGCGGTGGTGGCGGTGGTGCAGGCAAAGCATCCGCCGCATCCTCATCATCGAGTTCCACCACCAAGTTCAGCTCATCGTCGTCGTCGTCGTCGTCGGCCACCACCAGCACGGCAGTGGCCGTATCGTCATCCATTTCGGCCACATCCTCCAAGCTGCTGAGTGCCAATTTCAAGAAGCGCAGCACTGGCGGATTCCTCAGCTCGAGCCGATCCTCGCACCAGGCGCACCAGACGACGCGCAAGGCCAGTCTGGATGAGAAGGACTCGGGTCAGTCGTCGGGCAGTCTGGGTCACGGCCTGGGCGTGGCCCTCAATTTGGCCAAGGAGCAGCAACGCAGCAGCGTCGACATCTCGATACTGCTGACGGACGACGATTCGAGCAGCAGGCTCAGTGATACGGGTAAGGAATTGCTATATATTGCTGGATTTGCTTAGGACATAACTAAATTAACTGAATGATTAGGTTCCATGTCGCTGACAACCATCACGGACACGCTGGACAGCAAGTTGCGCAACCTGCGCAGCGGATCCGAGTCGAACGATGAGAACGGTTCACCCGACTTCCCCAAGAATCGGCGGCACACGCTCGGCCAGCCGTTGCATCTGCACTCCGAGAACATTCCGTATGCGGACGAGTCGCCGGAGCGGTTGTTCCATCAGTTCTGCAATCCTCTGGACGCGGCACCGCTCTCCCTGCACCTCAGTCGCTCCTGCACGGCCACCAATACGATTGGCGCTGGCGATGAGAAGTCCTCAGCAAAGCATGCAGCGGTGGGCGTGGCACCGCTGCCACAGAGCCTGCTCAAGGCGGCCCATAAGTTGCAGCACTCGGCCACGGTGCCCATACATCAGGGCAGTTCGACGGCGCCCACCAGCGGTTCAGTTACGCCCGTTGGCACGCCCACTGGCAGTAGTGGCGGCGGTGGATCAGGGGCTGGGGCCGGGGCAGGTGCCATTCCAGGTGCGCGCAGCTCGTCGAGCAGTGTGACAACGCTGACCAAGAGCATACATCCCAGGTTCAGTAACTATCTGAGTTACGAGAGGAGCAATGCGGTCACCGCTGCTGCTGCTGCTGCTGGTGGTGCTGCTGCTGGTGGTGGTGGTGGTGGAGCAGAAAGGGCAGTGGGAACCGGCGGAGGAGGAGCTGCCTCCGAGGATGATTCCGAGGGCTCGACCACCAGTGATCCCAAGGAGAAGCTGCTGCTCGGCGAACGACCATCGCCATCGTTTTTTCTCGAGCGCTACAACAAGAAGAGACGCGATCATCGCTTATTTCGGAGTGCCAGTTTCAATTGCCGGAACTACTCCACCAGGCACATGACCGCAGGAGCGGGATCAGCGGGAGCGGGAGCGGGTGCAGCAGGATCAGGAGCAGCAGGATCGGGATTATCAAGCGGAGTAACTGGAGCGGCAGTGGCAGTGGGCGTGGCCTGCTGCCAGGCATTGAGCGCCACCGGTTTGACCAAGGACGAGAAGACTGACATGAATCTGACCAAGAAGCGCCAGATCCAGAACAAGCAGAATCGTTCGATCAAGCGACGGCACACGGTGGGCGGACCACACGATTATTCCGCCAGTAATGGCGTCAGCTGCTCGAATCATGGCCACAGCCACAGCCACAGCCATGGTCACGGTCACGATCTGGCGGCCATAAACTACAATCACCACAATCGCCATCATCAGCAGCAGCTGCTGAAGCTGGGCAGCGCCACGTCCGGCGCCGGAGGCAGTGGAGCGGCGGCGGCCGAGACGACAACCACCACAACGACCACGACCACGGTGTTGCGACGCCTGGGAGCAACCGGTCCGTCGGTGGGAGCCGAATCGAGTGTCGCATTGCCCGGTTCCAGTTCGGGATCGAGTAGCAATAACAACAACAATAACTCACCGCAAAGCGATGGCAGCAATGGCAACGGCGGCGGTGCTGCAGCACCAGGAGTGCCATCCAGTGCACCACCATCAGCTGGAGGAGGAGGAGGAGGAGGAGGCGGAGGAGGATTAGTGGGTGGTGGCAGCAATAGCAACAGTAGCAGTAATAGCAGCAACAGCAGCAGCACCACTACCACACCCGCTGGCAACGGAGAACAGGTCCTGGAAGTGGGCATACGCATCAAGAGCATCAATCGAGGTCGCTTCTAAACGAAAGCATGGATCTCCACAACCAAGAAAAGAACCAATTTGACCTGGTTCAAGCGTAGTCTGCTAAAGAAATCATTTCAAATGTTTACAACAATGACATTTAAAAAAGAAAACCTGATTTATATATATCATAATGCAATGAAACCACCCCAAAATGGCAGTTGCTTAAGCATTGTTAGCTAAGCACACACTATAAAAAACCATAGATTACATGAGTACCAACAGGGTTTCATATGGAAACAGAAGCATAAAATGGAGACATTTAACAACAGCAGCAGTCTGTTAAACACACAAATGATAAATGATAAACACACACACACACACATTTTTAGAGACAAATGTTGAAATAAATGTTAAACCTGAGTAAAGTTGCTAAACAAGAAATCAAATCGAAGCCGGAAAAAGTAATTTTGTAAAGTTTTATGTGGCTTTATGCTTTACAAGCGAATGTCTTTAAACGAAAGTTTAAAGTGTGTATGGCTAAGCTACTTAAAATGAATCAAAAATTACTTTTTGCAGCCAAGATTCAGTGAGAAATAGTCAGCATAATCTCTATTACTATATCTATATCAATGTGCAGTTGCAATGTTGTGTCCGAATCGGGTCTTAAAACTTAACCAAAAGGATGTGGGAAAAGATTTGATCAGAAAAACGAATCAGCAGAACAGTTAAAATACGTATTATCACATATTCTATCACAATATATTATATATTCATATGCAGAGTCCCAAAAGTTGTGTCGGCAATATATAAAAAAACTGACAGTCGACATAAATGTTACACTAAAAACATTAAAAAAAAAACTAACCGGATAGTACGGTGCGTTTATGGAAAACTGATAACTGATGACAATTGGTTGGCAAAGATCCTAGATCGAATTGCATGATGCACTGTACAAAAAAAAAGGGTCACAACTCCCAGGGCTAAACAAATCTTAACAACGCAACGCAGAAAAAACAATCTTAGATGAAAACTATACGAGGGCAGGAAATAATTTATTCGCACACACAAAACACACAAATTAAATGGGAATCAAGTAAAGATCTGAATTCAGACAGATGGAGAGAGAGATATATAGCGAGAAACAGAGAAAGAGATATATAAAAGAACGAGACAGAAAACGGAAGATAGAGAGAGAGAGAGAGAGAAAACTATTTTGTAAAACGTATACAACAAACACTACAGAAAAATCGCATAAATATAACCACCTATGTATAGGAACAATCGAAAGCGTCGCCTGTCCGGAAATTCAGAAGAGTCCCTCTGCCAACTAAGTTGTGCTAGGTCCTCGATAAGGATCACTTTGCTGATAAGTTTAAATGTGTGTGTTTGTTGGTTTTTTTTTTTTCTGTGTACCTATGTACCTGCTGTAAAAAAAAAAAGGAAAAGTGAAGGAAAAAAGGAGAACCCATTTTTGGTGCCTTAAATTGTTTGTTTCAAATTTTAGAAACCTTTTTTTTTACCCATACATTATTTTTGTTGTATTTTTCGATACCCAGAGTTTTTTTTTTATTTAATTGGCGGTGCTTTAGGATATGCATGACATTGGTGCAGCTATAAAGCTATATAATAGAGAGATATATATTCCGCACACAAGCTGATGTCTAGACAGGCGACATCGGAAGAAGGATAGCATGATCGAAATGATGTTTGGATATATGTTTACCATATAACGCATAAGAAACGGCATAAATTTACATTTACATATATGATATAATATAATATATTTTTGTGTAGTTTGTATATGATTTTATATGATTTAAGTTTGGCAAAAACAAGAACGCGAACGCATAAAAAATACATGCAAATATATATATGAATAAGCAATTAGATTGTAGTTGTATAGTATTCCTCCCATTTTTTTTGCTGTATATACGATTTAATTTTTTTGATTTCATTCACAATTATGATTTACACCATCCCCAAACCTTCCCAAAAAAAAAGAGTATATAAAAAATTATATATATTTTGTACGCATTTTGTTTTGTTACCCGAAGGTAGAAAGAAACGAGAAGGCAGGAAAAAAAAGTATATAGAAAGAACCCCAAGCGCGTAACGTTGCTATATAAATATTATGCTTAACTAAAAACAATTTTTTGTTAGACTTTAGGTAGTTATTTTTTAAAAATTGTATTTTCTATTATACATGTATACATCTATATATATTTTTTATTTGTATTATGATTTTTTTTTTTCAAACAAAAATAAATGTGGATTTTCTATAATACTATAAACGACGACACAATAAAAAAGAAACAACAAATATTAAGAATAAATTGTACAAGTATAAACCAGAAGCAAGTTCTTTGTGTATTTCGTGTTTATTTAACTTATCTACTTGTATATCCCCAAAAATGATAATGATCTATGTACAAAATGGCCCCATGAATAATGGACTTTAGAGCTTGGCCTGTGGACCCGTTCCCGAGATCTTGTAGACGAACTCGTGGGCCACATCGTAGTACGGATTGCAACTTTGGCGCACTCTCTTCAGCCAGGCTCGAATCTTGGGGTACTTGATCCTCACATCGTAGTCGGCCATGCCTGAAATCGAAATAACAACACAAAAAGGAGTGTAAATAAAGGTATATTTTTTTAGAAAAATTAATTAATGATAATATAAAAACTATTTGTTATAGGACATTTTCACTTAACTTTCTTACATATTAGGGTTTATTCGAAAGAAAAACCGTATAAAATTAGACCATTAGTAAGTGGACTTTATTTACAGACTCTTTTAGGGTTCATCCGGCTGAACTTTCACATATATTTAAGGTTTATTCGAAATAAATGTCAAAAAACAGACTATTTTTTACAGCTATTTTTCATATATTCCAGACTTTCGAAATAATAAAATTAAACTTCACCATTTTTTATATGAAAGTTTTATAAATGCCAAAATGGTGGAATTTTAGTTATAAATCATCATAATAATTAAGTTTATTATTTAATTTAGGTTATTAAAAGTTTAAAACTAAACCATTAGACAGTGGATTTATTTGTATGAATATTTCATATAAAATATCATTCTAAACGACTTACTTTCTTCTTTATTTAAGGTTTATTAGAATTTGAAGTCTAAAGTTAAATAGATTTAGATAGATAGGTTTGTTATAAAGAAATTAAAAAAAAAACTGTATAGATAAAGCCAGATTTTTATTTAAAAATGTGCCTGTTAAATATATAACCTACTAAAATATTTATCAAAGAGAATTCTGTACTCACGAGTCTGTTCAATTTCGCAGGCTGCAAAGATGTCCGCCACGGTGAGAGTTGGTCCGGTGAGGAATTCCTTGCCCTCCAGCCAGACCTCCTCGACCACGTCGAGATTGCGCTCCATGTGCATGCGGAACGACTCGATCTTGGCCTCCGATGGAGTGCGTCCGGTCAGGAGCGGCTCCAGCCACACGGTGCGGAAGTACATGGCGCAGGTGAGGCGCAGGGTCATGTGCTGCCACTCGAGGAACTCGTCCACGCGACTCTGGTCCACAAAGTACTTGGGATACAGTTGCTCGGGGATCTTGCCCTTGGCGCTCAAATAGCGCAGGATGGCTACACTCTCGGCCAGCTTGTACCCATTGTCGTGGATGCAGGGCACGCGCTGGAAGCGGTTTATCTGCTGCTTGAAGTCTTCGGTCAAGTGATCGCCTTTGGGTGCAAAGACCGTGATTAAGATAAGATTGTAACGTTTATAGCATGCCTGGGTGCCTCCATATTTTTCGACAAACACCAAAGGTTTTCAAAACTATGACGACTTTTTAACTTTGTTTTTAATCATAAAATAATAATCTCTGTTGTTTTCCAGCTACTCTTAAAAATATTAGCAATCATTTCGGGTATTTGTAGTAAGATTTAAGATATTTATTTTCAATAAAATAATGAATTATGTAAATTATGTGTATAAATTGGATAAACGATTGAAATGATGATTTAATTATTTTAATAGTATACGTTTTTTACTAATATTTTTTTAAAATGTCCTATTATAATTGTCTATGTATATTTAATCTTTCTAATAAGGTAAATTTAATGTTTTTAATTTTTAAATTATCATACTAGTGCCTATACATTTTGGTATGAAAAATTATGAAAAACTTGATATTAAAATATAAAACGAAGATAAAAAAATTTAAACATAAAAGTCACACTTTTTCGGGTGTGACCCATAGATGGAGCCACCCTGACCCACGGGAATACCCTTACCATTTCGCAGAGCCACCACGCAGTCTTCGAAGGGCATGTTACTCAGCCGGAAGATAATGAACAATGCCCTCGAGGGCTGTGACATCAGGTCATAGTAGTAGCGAATGGGAGACGACATCCTCAGGTTTGTTGTTTGTCTAAGGGGAACTGCAATTGAGAAATATCATACAATTGCATTAATAAACAAACAGGTAGGCACAGGTCCAAAGATCATCATCGACCCTCAACCCAAGAACGCGTACAGCCACTACTGTGAATCAAATGTTCAATGCCCAAAGAACTCACCAAAAACACAGTCAGTGGGCGACTGAGGCTAAACCACAACCATAACCATTGAGCTCCGACTCAGATCGGAATCGAAATCAAAATCAGCTGGCTGAGCAAGAAATATATATATATATATATATAACACAGAGAAATACGGCGAGAGCGAGCTTTACGTTGCGTATTTTATCAACAAAAAGCTTTTAGTTCAGTAGTGATGGGTATTTTAGTACTAAAATCACGCATACGAAAGCTTAAAACATTTTGATCTTGTTTTTAAATTTTCGGTATTATTTAAAAAGTATTATTTTAGTAATTACCAAAAGCCAGTGTTCTAAGTTAAAATTTTTTTCACATATTATTTTATTTAATTTATATTTATTTAATATGCATCTGTGCTTTATTTGCCTTTATGTCACTTTGTTTTTGGTGACTTTTCTGCAAAGCAATTTTCGGAATTTTTACACTATACAAACAAGAACAAATCAACTCTAAATAACCAAAATTTCAATGCTTAATTTTCGAAACTCAGCAAACTGTTAGCAAAGTTATCGACTTGAAACTGCAGGTTTGTGGTTACTTTACCGCAAAGTCATTTTTCGGAAATTTAAAAAAAAAAATTATGGTATAACCTCACCATAAAAATGACCAAAATTTAAAACGAAACTAAAAACCAAGATTTAAATGCAGATTTTTAGATACTTTAGCCACAAGACTTTAAAGATATACCACATCCAAATCGAATGTCTGAAAGAAAAGTTATGGAATTAAAACTGGAGGTGTTTAGTCAGATTTCTGCAAAGCCATTTTTTTGAAAATTTAGAAAGGGGTTACATAAAAAAAGTGACCAAAATTTAAAACGAAACTACAAACCAAGATTTAAATGCAGATTTTTAGATACTTTAGCCACAAGACTTTAAAGATATACCACTTCGAAATCGGGTGTTTGTAAGAAAAGTTATGGAATTAAAACTGGAGGTGTTTAGTCAGTTTTCTGCAAAGCCATTTTTTTGAAAATTTAGAAAGGGGTTACATCATAAAAATGAACAAAATTTAAAACAAAACTACAAACCATGATTTAAATGCCGATTTTAAGATACTTTAGCCACAAGAATTTAAATTTTTTCTAAAAAATCAAGCATTAGTCAAATTTATATATTATATATATTTTTTTAATTTTCACAGTAATGTTGATCAAAGTAAGAAAATATTTTTGTAATTATCATTGGAAATTTTATCATTTAAATATTAATTGGGTTGTTTCCATTTAAATTTATTTTATATGGATCTGCTCCTTAATATTAATTAATTAATATTATATTAATCCTTTTTTATAAGATAATTTTCGAACTTTTTCTACTATGGACTGATGCTGACGTTAATTTAAGTAAAAATCTGAACTATTCACTTTCTGAAAATATCACCAAAATGGTTTTTGAACTATTCCACCAACCTCTGGAACTTTGGACCTCCTCGAAGGCTAACTGCAGCTGATCCTCGTCATTGCTGAGACCCAGCAAACTTGCCAAAAACGACACTGACATGGCGAGATCGTAACTCCTCCGAATCAAGTCAGCGAATGAGTTTAATGCAGCTGCTTTGACTTAGGTATATAGCCTCAATTTTTGGATGCTCTCCGATCTGGCAGAAAATTCGAATGCGACTACGAGTCAAGCGACAAGAAAAAATATGAAAGGAAATAAGCGCAAGGCAAATTGGCTCTCGAGATAAGGCGGAATTCCCTCTTCAAACCGGCTACACTTGGCAAAATTTTAAATCACCATCATTAACGGTAACTATGAAAATTTTTTTAGTGGAATAAAATTAATAATTTTTAAGTATTTCCAAGTTTTGATTGACTTTAAGAACGGTTACTTACAACCGGAATTAGATTAATTCAATTAACTCAATTGGTTTATGATTTCAAAGTGACATACATCTATATTTTTTAAGACCTATTTTTATGTAATTCCCAAGTTTTCGATCTTAAGTTCCCAATAATCTGTAATACAATATGTTATTAAATTATGTTATGTTATTCTTAAACCCATTTTTATGTCAGCTGGTTCGAAATTTGCGATGTTTTGAGCCCATAACTTGGCCATTTGGATTTCGATTTTCGAGATACATACCTATTAAAAATGTTGCATTATTATTATTTTTTTCGCTCAGTGTAACTACGTTTCATTCATCCCCTTGCCAATCTGCCAAATAATCAATCCAGTTGTGGGCCATTGGCAACATCGAGTGGCCAGGAATAGAAACTTAGAATAAGGTCCGTCTTATCGCCAGATAAGAAAATATTGTTTACCTCAAATTCAATGGCAACTGGTTTTGCGTAGCGATCAGCTGATGGATCGGGATTTATCGTACTTTCGATGATATCTTTACCCATCCGCCAAAAAAACTTTAGTTTTGATTAGGTATATATCGTATATGTGTTATTTATTGATTCCATTTCGAATATACCGACATCATTTGCTTTGTACTTGTATACATTTATACTATATATATATATATATATATATATATATATATATATATTCATATTTATATTGTGTGGGGGTGTATATATATATATATTTTTTTTTGTATTTGTAATTGAGATAAAGTGGAGCCGAGGTATCGTCTACCTCTTGTTTGTCCGGGGAAAGGTACATTTACAAAGAGTATAATTAAGGTATAAAGATATAGTAATCCACAACATTTATACTCGGTGTAGAGAGAGAGATCACACAGTGGGGAAAAATAGATATATGTACGTATGCAATGACTTTGCTTTGTAAATATATGTATATAAAAATAATATACAATTAAATGAAAATGGAACTCGGTTTGGCCTGGCAGCTTATATAGATAATAGACACACAAGATCCGACCATATATGCCGTGTATATATGGTTATTTAAGGGTACTCGACTTATTGTTGACTTGATTGTTACACACAATTGGATACATTTCGCTGGTACAGAGTTTAGTTGCCTTTGGTTTGGTTTAGTTGGAAGTTGGGTTTTTCTTTGGACCGGAACTTATTGTTTAATATTCTCTCGATTAGCTATTTGTTGTGTGTACTTTTCTGTACTTATTAATATTTTCAAAGTGCGATTTACTAATACAGTTGTCCCCGATCAAAGATCTTTAATTTTTTAAACTTACTTAAAATAAATAATGATAGTTGATTTGAAATAACTGAGAAAAACGCACTATTCGTGTATATATATATATATATTGATAATTTGTTTTGCATTTTGATATAACGTGCTAATTACGTTGCCCTCTCCCGATTCTCTTTATATATAATATGTGTTCTCTGTAGGTAAAGCACACTGAAAACAAATCGTTCGAGTGCAAAGTGTGAATAACAGATGTCTATACAGTTGTATACGGATTTCATATATAATATATGATGTCATTCTTTTGTTCAGAGTCTTTTGCATTTGCATTTGCATTAGCTGCCCCTGTTTTCTGGTTTCCTTTATTTCTGGGGATATGCGCGAAGAGTTTAGGAAGAACTTACGTAGACATTAAAATACATTTACCAATTTTAGGATTACAGGTTACAGGTTCAGTTAGTGTTTTTTTTTGGGCTTCATACAATACAAATCTAGGTTAAATACTTTATAGCGACGACATCGATCGACACGTACTTATTGTTGGTTTGTTAATCATTCGCATTTTCGCATTTGCGATCTTATTGGGCTTCTTTGGTTAATACTTGGCAAACGAAATTTCGACTGAACTACGATCTACAATGGTGCAATCAATACGGTCATTACACTACTTGTTCTCGATGATCATCTGCAGTTGGAGGACCAGACTCCGGGCCAACTGCAGCACCGATTGGGCATTGTGACGTTCGGCCATTTCTGAAAAGTATATTTTATTAAATATTATATATTTAATATGCAAGAGATGTTTAATCATTAAGTCACCATTGAAGAACTTGATGACATCGGTGAAGTCCATGCTGTTGGACAGGATGATGTCGCGGTAGGTCTCCAGCAGGGCCAGGGCCAAAAAGAGGACGAAGTGGCCGGAGGCGATGTGCTTGGCCGCCCAGATCACCTCCCAGGTGGCGAAGACGTCGTCGTAGACGAGCTCCCTCTTGAAGTCGAGCAGGAACCAGCGGTAGCAGAAGTAGAAGTGCGTGTAGTCGCCATTCGAGTCCATCAGGTCGTACATCTCCGAGTCGAGGATCTGTATGAGGGATCTGTATGGCACCAGTCATTAGTTCAACCGAATTATATAGCTAGTTATGATATTATACCCACCGCATGTTCGCAAAGTGCATGTCCATGGCCCCGCCGCTGGGGAAGTTCTCGATCATGCGCTCCATGAGCTTGCAGAAGCAGCTGTAGCTGAGCGACTCGTCGTCGAAGATGACCAGGAGCGGAGCCACCAGGTCGCACATGCCCTGCATGTAGCCCACGTCCAGGTGCTCCCACACGTACGTGGAGATCACGTTGCGCAGCTTGTCCAGGTTCTCGTTGACGAAGTACCAGTAGTTCCTGTCGCACCGCTGCACATCCTTCTCGATCCGGTGCAGATTGAGGCCAAACTGTTCCAGCAGTTCGCTCTGCAAGAGGGAGGTTTGAAATGAGGATATTACAATGGCAAATAAGAGTGAACTAAAATAGATGCTTTAAATGTCTTGAAGGTCATTACAAGGTAAATATTACGTATACGCTAAATTTAACTATTGCTAAATTATTTTAAATAAATTAAATCAAGGGACGGATTATCAAGAATTTTTTATAAATGATTTAAAACAATCATATTAAATTATTTATACGCTCATAAAAATAATGAAATGGTTAATTAAAGCATTTCCAAAAATAATTTAAAACAATTATATTACGTATACGCCCATTTAAACAACTCTTTTGATAGGAAATTCTAATTTATATTTCAACTAATCATTGTTGACTAATTTGAAGGATCACATAAAACATAATTAAAGTATATCTAAAAGTGTTTCAAAACAAACACATTACGTATACGCCTAGGTGAAAACCTTTTGGAGTGCAAACTCCGACTATTTTTATTGTAAATAATTCTTGTTAAAATGTCTTTAAGTAAATTTTACTATTCAAACGATAAAACGATAAGAATAATTAAAGTAATGTTCGAAAACAATCACGTTACGTATACGCCCAATTGAACATCTTTTAAGTGGAAACTAGCAAGATTTGAATGAACCTTGTCTTAAATGAGGTAGAGATAATGCCATCAAATTGCTGGCCAACTACTCACACTATAGACCCCACCATTGGAGCTGGCTGGCGAGGCGCAGGCGGACTTGGGCTGCTGCAGGGCATCGAGATTAACGGCAGCTGCACCGCCGGATTCGCCAACCTGCTCCTCCACGGGTGACATTTGGCCGCCCTCTTCGGCCTTGGGACTCCGCTCCCAATGGGTTATGTCCACGGATGCCTTGGTGATGATGACAGCCGCCGTTTGTTGCTGTGCCAGCGGTGGCGGTGGCGGTGGCTGCTTCACTGCATCCTCATCCTCCGGCAGCTGCAGATCGTCGGCACTCAGATACTCCGGACTGAGGACACTGCGGGTGTCGCGGGTGCCACCCGGACCCACTGTCTCGTACGAGGAGGCTGTGGAGGTCGAGCTGGTCGGCTCTGGATTTAGCTGATCCTCCTGCTGCTCCTCCTGCTCCTCCTTGGGCTTGCCACCCTCCAACTTCTTTTCATCCTCCTCATCCTCCTCCTGCTCGTCCAGCTCATTGAAGTTATCGCCTTCGTCGACATGCCCCGAATCCGTGCTGGTCTTCATTGCCCTGGGAATGGGCTTGACACTCAGGTGATTGCCACTCGATTGGCATACCACCTGCTGTTGCTGCAACTGCTGCTGCTGCTGCTGCTCATCGAACTCCAGATCACCGGGATCCGATATATCGGAGATGTCCTCGAACACCTCGTTCTCCAGTTCGCCGCCCGCCTCGAGATCGGCTGCCCGCACGGTCCGTTCGTTGCCGGAATTGCTGCCGGAACTCAACTTGGCCACCGCCCGGGCGGTCTTTTCCTTCTCCCGCTGCTGCACAATGGCGTCCACCGCCAGCCACTCGCTCATCGTCGTCTCGTAGTAGTGCTTGCACGTCTCGTCCTGCTTCCGGCGATCCTCCGCGGTGGAGCCGAAGGCATAGTGGCCCAGCAGATAGGGCCACACCTCCTGCCGCAGCTCTGGCTGCACGCCACCGAAGTAGACCAGGCGGTAGAACTCCGTCGCATTCTCCAGGACTCCATCCACGTTCAGGAGCTGCCAGCGCTCCTTGGTCAGACCCTCCTCATCCGCTTTCACTGAAAGAGAAAATGGGGAAATTGCGCTTCAGTTGAACAATTAAACAAATAAACAATTTACTTAATACTTAAAATAAATGTATTTCTTACGGTTTCTAAAATACATTTTAATTCAACAAAAAAATCGAAATTCTTTAGTTAACTTACGACTTACGAAAATGTGTTAAGTTAATGTTGTTCCTTTAACATTAAAAAACATTAAATTTTAAATATACATAATGAGGGTCAACATTATTGGAATCAATTTAAGCTTAGAAATGAAACCCTTAACTAAAAACAATAAATTATTTGAATGAAAAGATGTGGTCAATATAAAAAATAGATTACAAAAATGTTGGTTAGCTTTAAAATTTGTAATAATTTGTCATTTTACGGCAATTACCTACAAAATATTTTGAATTTCAATTTAACCAATGTAATGAGCTATCAAAATGGAAACCACTTTAACATATCGTAAGAATTTAAACAAAATTTATGTGGTCACATTTTGAAACTATTATAAATATGTACAAAATATTTTATAGCTAAAAATAATATATTTTTTTATTTTTAGTGACTTGATTATTTAATATGTTATGTAGTGATAGGTTTTGACCGACTCAAGGTCTCAAAAAAAAACAAATAAAAATATTATAAATATAGGCAGAAAAAATGAGTATAAATTTAAGTATGATTAATATATGGCATTGTTGGGTATTGTCAACTCACTTTCCGGCGTAATTCGGCCGTGGACCAGGCCGGACAAGTGGGTGCGCACCGTGGAGAGGTGGCGGCAGTAGGCCAGCCAGCCGTAGAAGGCCCTCGAGATGATCTGCCTGCGCATCGTGGAGCAGACCATCTCAATGCTGGTGCTCTGCGCCTGGAGCAGCTGCTGCTGCTGCTGCTGGTGGAGGAGCAGCGGCGACTCCAGCGGGAACTGGTCGATGGAGAGGCTCTTGTTGGAGCAGTCGCTGCTGCCCGTTGTGGAGCAGCTGCTCAGCTGTGCCCGACGCGGAGTGCTCCGCACAAAGTCCAGGATCGAGTGGGTGGCAGCTGCAAGGGGGAATCACAATTTGGCAAGGTTAAACAAATACTCATGTCTTAAATATGAGTATACAATTTCAAGGATATGACTGTTAAAGCAATCTTATTGAAAATTTTTGGCACAAAATCTGAAAGTCACATTTTGTATCGCAAATTTTTTAAGAACTTAGTTAGGGCAGCGTTATATATAATTATTGTAAAATAGTAAACTTACTGATAACAATTTAATGGTTTTATCGCGATTTTTTAGAACACAAACAATTCATAATAACATTATATATGTAGCAATAAGACACATAAAAACAACTTATTGTTAACTCTTACTTGTTTCGTTTTTGTAAGAATTTTAATCAATCCAAATTAGGAAAAATAATCTATTTTAATAGATATTTAAAAAATAAGTATACTAAAAAGCACTGAAGAGTTTTAAATATTATATTCTGAATCTATTTGTTTGAATTACCTAAGTCATAGGAATACTAGTGTACTGTACAAAAAGTGTATTCTAATTGCAGATCTATGGTTTCATAGTTTACCATCGACATGAACTTTATTTTTTGAAGTGCATAAATGAAGCGTATTAATAGTTTAAAGCAACGAACTAATTAATTAATTAACTGAATTACTCTAATGTATTTACTTACTGATTTTGATTTAAGAAACTTGTTAAGTCATTTCTTTTTATCAACCTTTAGAATTTTAATTTACAAAGCAAACAAATCGAAAATTAATAGCAAAATTATTGAAATAACAACTAATTGGTATGGGTCAATTGATTTTGTGGCTGCTACAAGTGCATGATTTTTGAATGAACGTGAAACAGAAATAAATATTATTTCCGCTTAATGATTTTCAGTTTGCATTTCGCCCACTCACCGAACTCCTCGTGGCGACTTTTGCTGACGATGCGGAAGACGTAGTCGATGGGCGTCTCGTCCACGGACTCCATGACCGACGGCAGGATGCGACGTCGCATGCTGCGGGGCCAGAGGAACATCTTGCCGATGCCTCGCTGCGACCAGAGCGGCGGATCCAGTTGGCCGTGCGGCAGGAGACCCGTTTCCAGGCAGCTGAGAAACTGCTGCATGTGACCGCCCTCGGGAAAGTGGATCGGCGGCCGCTGGACACCGTCCTGACCCACCAGGATGACGGTGCCGCCACTGTCCTCGCCGCGACTCTGGTGGCAATGCACATAGACGATCTCGTCCACGTTGATGTTCAGCGCGTACGCCCAGAAGGCATCCTTGTCGATGTCCTCCGCCTCCTCCGTCTCGTTGTAGCCGTTCATCAGCTGATTTGGGGTCCACTTAATGGTCAGCGTCTGGATGTGCTGGTGCAGACTGAGATAGCCGGGCATCGGTTCGGCCACATCCTTGGGCAGCACCTGCACATTGTTCTTCCCGTAGAGCAGCGTGGCCTTGGCGTTCTGGTGCAGCGACTCCACGTAATCCTTGGCCACGCTGGCCGAGGCTATCGACTTGAAGGACCCACTGCTCGCCTCGTCGGTGCTGGTGTTCAGGCTCCGCTTGAAGTTGATGATCGCCGGACGGGAGCAGGTCGACGAGGAGCGACGGCACGAGCTTATCCGATGGCGTTGCACCTGTTTTGTAAGGGTACAACACTCAAAAACTTAATACACATTTAACACCAAAATAGTTTATGTCATTTAGGCATGATTTGTGAAGGTTCTGGTTATCATACATTCCAACTTTTCGAAAACACAAATAAACAATCAATCAATGAACCTGATTTCCAGAAATAATTACATAAATGTTTTAATACACAAATAATAACCAAAATATTTTATGTCATTGTGCCCGATTTCTCAGTGTCATGTTAAGGTTTTGGTTAAGTAAACTGCCAGAGAAAGTTGAAATACACTTAAACAATCAATCAATGCACCTGTTTTCAAGGAAAAAAAAAAATTTGAATTCTCATTTAATCTCAACAAAATTCGTAGCATTAAGGTTTAATTTCTGAATGTCACGTTAAGGTTATAGTTTCCAATCAGTCAGAGAAAGTAAGCATCAAGGTTTTTCGAAAATTGGGGTTACAGTCAGGGCTTTTTGCACCAAATTTGTGAAAAAAGGAAATTTTTCAGCTCTATTGAATATTTGATGATATTTTCAATGTGGCATGACATTATAAGTCTTGATCAGGTTTTTTTGATAGTAAAACCGAATTTTGTTTTAGTTTGTTTAGATTTATTCTATTCTTACGCTGGAAATGTAAAATATATTTTGCTAAATATCATATTAAATTAAATTAAAAATATTTTAAATGTAGTTAAATCCTTTTAGTATGAACAGTTAAATAAAAAATCCCACTCACAAGTTCATCTGCATGCGGATCGGTCCAATAGTGATCGGCTGTCTTGGCCCGTGTGAACTCCAGGGCACAAGGACCCACCAGCAGGGAGCTCAGGATGGATCCATAATCCGGATCGGCCACCAGCGAGTCGCGGTCGTAGAAGCTGCTGGCATTGCTCACCAGATACTCGATGATTTTGGTGAGTCGCTTCTCGTAGAGAGCCAATCGAATCCACAAATATCTAAGGAGTACAAGTAAACATACCATTAAAACAAAAGAATTAATCAATTTTAATTTAATTGCATAGAATTAAATATATTTTAGGTTGATTTTTGAAATGCATTTTACATTTTTAGTATTAAACATTTATTTATTTAACTGGCAGTCTTAGTGCTAAAAATATTATTGTTACTGCAGCTGCCTTAAGAATTTAATTTCTTATTTATATCCCACAAAAACTATAGGAAAAATTAAATCCTGTTTTTTTTGTAACATTTTGAAATGACTAAAAATAAGTTTTTTTTTTAAAAATGTCCGTTCATATGTGTTAATAAAAAATCAAAAAACTTAATGCCAGAATTAAATACAAAAATTCATGGAATATTAATTGAAATTAATTCTATTTAAAGTTTTATAATAAAATCTACAAATAAGGAACTCTAAAAATTAATTTTTACATTAAAAAAAAAACAAGTTTCAATTTACAATTTAAAAATTAAATATTTCAATATTAAAAAAAACTGAAATTAATTTTATTTAAAGTTTTATAATAAAATCTACAAATAAGAAACTCTAACAATTAATTTGTATAATAAAAAAAAGAAGTTTGAATTTACAATTTAAAAATTTCAAAAATTAAATATTTGAATATTTGAATATTAAAAAAAAAACTCACTTCATGCTGGCCAGGGACATGCTGGAGGTGCTGGCACTGACGCTGATGGAGGCGGAGGCGGAGGACGAGGTGGCCGCCACACAGGTGCCGGCGGACATCGAGTTGCTGCTACTCTTCTTGAGCATCGGCGGCCGCTGGAAGCTGTCGCTGCTGCTGGAGGACCGCTTGCTGGGATCACTGGCCTCGATCTCCTGCACCAGCTTGCTGATGTGCTCCGCCTCCGGGCAACTCTTGGCGATCTTGTGCAGCAGCGCCGTCGTCGAGGAGGTCTTGAACAACCCCAAGGCCCGCCGGCGAAGTCCCTGACTGAGACAGGCCTCCACGGCGCCGCAGAGCGAGGTCACCGAGCTGCTCTCCTCGTGGACGAACTTCTTGGTCACCGCCTCCTCCATCAGCTGCTTGACCTCCTTCTTTACGCTGGCTATCAGCCGCTCCTTGTAATCGGAGCCATCTGTACAAAATATGAAATATATTATTATACACCCAAAAAAAAACTATTGATACATGAATTTAAAGCCATTGCGTAAAAACAATTTCTTAATAAGATGAGAATTATAATAATACCACGAAAGTATCAAAGTAAAACATAACTTAACTTAACTTTTTAACTCTTTTGTATAGAATCATACTTAAACACTATATAATACTGTCAGTAGTTTATTTTTAAGACACACTAATTAAAACTAAGCTTAGAAATCAGCAACAATCCTGCAATTTCTTTAAAAAATTAATTGATTAAGAAGTATGAAATATTTAGAAATATGTATATTAGCTGTGAGTTAGTTAAAAATAGTCATTCATTATAGCTTACTTCCCTTTATTAATTACTTTAAATATAAATACCAATGTAAAATTGTTTTTCAATAACAAAATATTTGAACAAAACGACTTGACCAAAATGAACATTTTTTATAAAGTAATTTTTGAATATAAATGTTAAGTAATTTATCAATGTCTAAAATGTGTCGCAAAAAGGTAATCATTTTTATCATAACAACGTAGATAGACATAAAATCGCACTGATAAAACTAATCTTATCTATATTTATAAAGGTCATCGGTGACTTATAGTAAATAAATGTATTGCGATTTACTTTGAACACTGGTTCATGTCTGGGAATTCAGTTGAAAATTAATGTATTTGAATATTAATGTATTCGAACGCCACGAGTAATTTGAGTAATTTAATGAATATATAAAAAGTTCTGTTTGACAAACCACTGCCATTACAGTTCGCATGAAAAGTAAACCCCGCCGGGTGTTAAAACGAAATCACAGCGACGACGCCCAGTAAACATTGTTCCCTCTGCACCATATCCTGTACGTTCCGTATGTCCTGTATACTGAAGTCCTGCCGTCTGAAATCCAATATGTCCAACATGTGTTCTCTGTCCCCCCACGAACACTATCTATCTTCCCCAATCCAAAATGCTAATGGCATTTGCACTCAAAACTCACGATGGCCTCCGGCCACGTATAATTTCATTTTCATTAATTGTTTTCCATTTGGAGCGACAGCTAGGCATATCCGTGGGTTGACCAGTTTGCCCGTTTGCCAGTTGGCCAGATACAAGTACAGATACGGATACACTCACAGATCCACCGGGATGACGAATGATGAATGATGGTTGAGGGACTTGGTTCGAAATGGAAATATATGCAGATGGAATGGCAAATCGATGGACAGGTAATAAAACTAGCCAATGCAAGACCATAAATAAACGGAATTTATGATCCCGAGATGGAATCTACATATTTAACGAGAGATTCTAAAGGTTATAATTTTAGGGTTTAACTGTCATATGCTTTAAATATTATTTCACCCAAATAATTCAAAAAAATATATCATATCAAATATTTCCATTTAATTATAAATTCTTGTTAATAATTATTAATATAATTTGATTTAACGACAATAAATTAGCTAGATCAGGATTTTTTAAATACCCGTTGGCGAACAATAAATAAATAATATAAAACTGTAAAAAGTTTAAAAAATAAAAATAAATTGGATTGTACAGATAAGGCTTTAAAACGACAATAGAAATATTTAGAGCAATTAAAAGCTATTCTTTTTGGTTATTAATATACAAAATTGGAAGATCTATAAAATTAAAGTCAGCTTAATAAATAATTGAGAACAAAGTTTGGCAAAAAATAAAACATATTTGTTGTATAAAGAAAAATCGTTTTCATCCAAAAAAAAAGGACGCCAAGAATACGAAATACATTTGGAATAAATAAAAAAAAGAAACTATTTGTTATATAAGAGAACATCCGCATTGTTAAAAAAAATAATTCCAGAGTACGTAACACATATCGAAGGGATAATAAAATATACATGTTACATATTTGTTGTATAAGGGAAAATCAATTTCGTCAACAAAGGAGGTAATGAAATATTTAATACATTTCGAATATCCTTATTAGGGATCGTAAAAAAGCTGCATCAATTTCCTATCAAATCGAATGTGAAATGGATGTTGGTTTTGGGGTTTCCCGGATGCACTTCCCACTGGCAATTTAATGGCCCGCCGCCCGCTGAGCTGGGTTCATTATTCTGGCGATGGATGTGGATGTGGATGTGGATGTGGCCATGGATGACGATGTGGGTGTGGATGTGGATGTGGATGTGGATGTGGATGTGGATGTGGATGGGTGGACTGGGACTTGGACTTGGACTCGATGTGACCAAGGGGTTGGGGCCTTAAATGTGGCGACAACAAAGTGCTGGCTGTCTGGAACGCCGACCGCGTTGTCGCCATTCTGTGTCCTTGGAGGGGGATGCCAATGGATGGCAGTGGGTGGTTGTGGGTGGCCCCACTTTAATTGCTGCCCTTTGTTGCACAATTTGAATTTTGCATTCGACACTTGTTGTTAGTTTTCCATCTGCTTTCCATTCTTTGCAAGTAATTAGCATTTAAATGGTCGCACAGCACGGGGGTCCTTGGAAAATAAGTTTTAATAACTCCATTCGCCCCCTCATCAGCCGGGAAATGCAAATATGCTGGAAGAAAGTTTATCACTCCTGCTATTTGCCATTTGCTATTTGCCATTTGCTATTTGCTGTTCTGCTGATTTGTTTATTTTGTTTTTTTGTTTGCCTGGCCTCCATTGGCGAGGCCAAACGAAAGTAAATTATACAAGATACTCAGATAATTGCACAGAGCATGTACATAAACAAAGTGTCTGAATGGGAAATAAAAAACTTACTCATACATTGACTTTGAGTATTTGTATTAATAATTTCTGGAGTGTTCACTCCAGAAGAACGAACTGTTCGAAATAAATATTTGTGAGACATTTTTTTTTTTTTTTGTACTGCTCTTCGGCTCTATCGATATTGACATTGGCCACGGAGCAAGTTGAAAACCCATTGGGAATTTAGCGACCAGCCGGAGAAGCATCATCAATACCAAAGTGATGGAAAGGGGGAGGGGCGGGCCCTGGGGGGTGTAGGGGGAGGTCACCTCCACCATGACCTTGATGAGCTTGGCCAGCGACTATCCCGCCGGGAGATGCTGTAGGTCAACACACAAACACACACACACACACACACAATGAGAGGTGAAAGCAAGCCATAAAAGCAATCTTTAAAGAGAAAGTAAAATTGGTACATTACCTACCACATTCATTTAACTGTTTACATGGCTCACAATTTGTTAATGCTTCAATGAATTACTTGGAAAATATATACCTTATGCTTTCACTTAACCATATATTTACTTTGAAAAAAAATGTAACGTTTTGCTATTATCAATGAATCAACTGGAAATTAATAACTGGAAATAATAAAATTCAATGAAACAACTAGAAAATTTAACCAGCTTAAAACATGATCAACATGTTGAAATTTCAATAAATTGACTATAAATCATTAATAATTTTTAAATTAAAAGGGTCTCTTTCAAATCTGCTAGCAGTTTTAATTACTTCAAATTGCTACACTTTCGAGTGCGCACTTAGCGTATGGGTAATCAATCAATTGGGCAAAAGAAAGCCAAAGGCAAAAAGTCGTTTTAGAAGCTCGTGGCAAATAAAATAGGGAAACTCCTGACCAACAGAATCCCGCAGCTCCTCAAGAAACTTTATCAATTATCCAGAGAACAATCAAGAGCGAAATTTGCGGCAGTGAAAATCAATTTCAGTTTCTCCCAACTTCTGGCAACCTGGGGAACTAAGGGGAGGGGGGAAGGGAAGGGGAAGGGGAAGGGCAAATGGCAGGTCCTTCGTCCTGCGAGAGAGTCCTCTTCCTGCAATCGTAAATTCATTTGGCCCACCAAATGGCAATTGATGGCTTAAACAGGCTCAATAACCATTTTGGGCCATACACACGCACACGCACACACACACACACACCCAAGGCCAAAACTTAATTAAGGGGAAAAGCGGAAAATGTGGAAAATCGGGGCGACCGTTTGGTTGGCTATTCCCAGTCAGCAGCATTTTTAAAATAAAACGTTTCTATTTTCATCAGGCCAAAATCTTTTGCGGTTCGCTGGTCCGCATTTTGTTCGTCCTGCTTTTCGATATTTATTTTGATGCGGACACGGTTATAGATGTTGCATGGCTTTGGTTTAATGCGGCTTTTCGGCGTAATTTCGGTTTTATGATCCTGAACCGATTTTTTTTTTTGCGACACTTACAAAGAGTTATGGCTACATAAATGGTTTTTCCTTAAATTAAATTGAAGAAGTGTTCGGCTTGTATTTTAGGCTTAAAGTGTGATTTTTTGGCTACATTTATTCATTATTTTGCAAATACTTCTTTAGGAAATACACAGATAATATAAAAAAATCGTTTTACCAAACAACTATGATAAAAGTCTGAAGGGAATCTAGCAAGCAAATATATTTTTTTAGCTGAATTTCACAAACAAATTCAAAGCCCTTCTTCAGGGCACACAACATTTTAAAATGGCTTTTAATGGCATATTGGTTTCATTCCTACAACCTTTTCTTCTGGATATATCTACATATATATATATATATATTTATTTCAGCTTGAATGTACCTTCATTGTACAACCTTTTTTATCTAAAATCAAAATCTAGGCACATGGGTGCAGAAACATTCACCAAACGACTTGTGAGTTTATCCGTCTGAAAACTATTTTTATGGAATTAGGATAAAGACTTAATTGGACAAAAGGCAAAGACAATGGCATAGAGAGAAAGTTCTGAATCTGCAATAAAATCCGTCTCCAATCCACTCATACAAATAAATGTATTTATTTTGATTTTAGAATATTACTATTACCGGCACTTTAGATTTATGCAATTTTATTAAAAACGGAACATAAAATGTTTTTATTTAATTCCTAAATGTTTATGTTTTTGGCATCAAACATTTCTGTACTAATTGTTAAATTCGTTTTAAGCCATTTCAAAGCTTAGCCATTTATAACGACTTATTTAGTTAAAATTGATAAAAACTTTTCTTATATTTATATT